CATCCTGAATGTGACAGCCACTGACAGGAGCACAGGCAAAGCTAACAAGATCACCATCACCAATGACAAGGGCCGGTTGAGCAAGGAAGAGGTGGAGAGGATGGTTCGTGAGGCTGAGCAGTACAAGGCTGAGGACGAGGCCCAGAGGGCAGGGTAGCTGCCAAAAACTCCCTGGAGGCCCATGTCTTCCATTTGAAGAGTTCCTTGCAAGAGGAAGGCCTTAGGGACAAGATTCCTGAAGAGGACAGGCAAAAAGTGCAAGACGAATGTCAGGCTGTCCTCACCTGGCTGGAGCACAACCAGTTGGCAGAGAAGGAGGAGTATGAGCATCAGAAGAGGGAGCTGGAGCAGATCTGTCGCCCCATATTCTTCAGGCTCTGTGGGGGNCCGCCTTCTGCAACGACTCGCAGCGCCAGGCCACCAAGGACGTGGGTGCCATCGTGGGGCTAAACGTGCTGAGGATTATCAATGAGCCCACTGCGGCCGCTACCGCCTATGGGCTGGACCGGCAGGGCGCCAGAGAGCGCAAAGTGCTCATTTTTGACCTGGGCGGGGGCACCTTCGACGTGTCAGTCCTCAACATCGATGCCGGTGTCTTTGAGGTGAAGGCCACCGCTGGAGACACCCACCTAGGTGGAGAGGACTTCGACAAGCGGTTGGTGAGCCACTTCATGGAGGAGTTCCGGTGGGAGCACGGCAGGGATGTGAACGGGAATAAGCGGGCCCTGCGAAGGCTGCGCATGGCCTGTGAGTGCACCAAGCACACCCTGTCCTCCAGCACCCAGGCCACCCTGGAGATAGACTCCCTGTTCGAAGGCGTAGACTTCTACACGTCCATCACTCGTGCCCGCTTTGAGGAGCTATGCCAGACCTCTTCCGCAGCACGCTGGAGCCTGTGGAGAAGGCCCTGTGGGATGCCAAGCTGGACAAGGCACAGATCCATGACATCGTCCTGGTGGGCGACTCCACCCGCATCCCAAAGGTGCAAAGCTGCTGCAGAACTTCTTCAACGGCAGGGATCTAAACATGAGCATCAACCCTGATGAGGCCGTGGCCTATGGGGCTGCGGTGCAGACGGCAGTGTTGCTGGGGGACAAGGGTGAGAAAGTGCAGGATCTCCTGCTGCTGGATGTGGCTCCCCTGTCCCTAGGGCCGGAGACAGCAGGTGAGGTGATGACCACGCTGATCCAGAGGAATGCCACCATCCCCACGAGGCAGACCCAGACCTTCACCACCTACTCTGACAACCAGCCTGGGGTCCTGATCCAGGTGTATGAGGGTGAGAGGGCCATGACCAGGGACAACAACCTGCTGGGGTACTTTGAACTCAGTGGCATTACCCCGGCCTCACGTGGAGTCCCCCAGATCGAGGTGACCTTT